AGTCGTTGCAGCATTTTAGCAAATATCTTCTGGGGCGAAAATTTCACTTACGAACTGACCATGCTGCACTAAAATGGCTATTGCAGTTTAAAAATCCAGAAGGACAAGTTGCGAGGTGGATTGAACTACTGCAGGAATACGACTTTGAGATCGAACATCGCAGCGGGAAATCTCATGGCAACGCAGATGCATTGTCATGAAGACCTTATCCTGAAGATTGCAAACATTTTACTAGGCAAGAGAGTAAGGAAGTGGTATCCGTGAGGATGCTCAGGGCAGACCACCTCAGCAACGAGTGGAAGGACAGCTTTCAACGTGCACAGCAGGAAGATCCGGACATCAAGCCGATCCTGGAATGGATGAAAGCCAGTGCTCCCAAGCCTAAGTGGAGCGACGTCTCAGCAATGAGTTCAACCACTAAAAGCTATTGGGCCCAGTGGGACAGCTTGCTGCTTCAGGATGGAGTTCTGTGCCGTAAATGGGAAAATGTTCGGGGAGACAGCTGTCATTTACAAATGGTTGTCCCTAAAACTAAAGTACCAGATGTTCTACAGCTGTACCATAATGATTATTCAGGAGGCCATCTGGGAGTTAAACGAACTCTACTGAAGATCCGAGAACGGTTTTACTGGGTCCACTGTCGAAACGATGTCGAGGACTGGTGTCGCAAATGTACAAGTTGTGCGGCTGTAAAGGGACCTCAGACTCGTAGTAGAGGTGCATTGAAGTTGTACAATGTGGGTGCACCATAGGAGAGAATAGCCATTGACGTGGCGGGGCCGTTTCCGGAGAGTGAAAGCGGTAACAAGTATTTCATGGTTGTGATGGATTACTTCACTAAGTGGCCAGAAGTCTTCGCCATTCCAAATCAAGAAGCTTCAACAGTTGCAGATAAGCTAGTTCATGAAGTCTTCTGTCGTTTTGGAGTACCTTTAGAGATTCACAGTGATCAAGGAAGGAATTTTGAGTCTCAAATATTCCAGGAAACTTGCCGAGTTATGGGTACTCATAAAACAAGAACGACTTCTTATCACCCGCAATCTGATGGAATGGTGGAACGATTTAATCAGACATTGGAGAGGTACCTAGCAAAAGTTGTAGACAATCGGCAACGAGATTGGGACAAGCACATACAACCGTTTTTGTTGTCATATCGAAGTTCTGTTCACGAAAGTACAGCAGTGACACCAGCTTTCGCAAACTTTGGAAGAGAATTACGGCTGCCTGCGGACCTGATTACCGGGATACCACCTGTTTCGTGACCATTTCAATGCTTCTGGTGCTAGTTTATTATTAACATCACGTTTGGCAGGTGAATTGACGATTTTGTACGTGGTAAAGCCATGCTAAAGATGTATTACGGCTGTATCATGAATGGTTCACATCGAACAATATACGATCACGCTCCCGCAGAAAACCAGCATAAAATAGCAGTAGAAAACCAGAGCTTGAATGGTAGAGAATAAATAATGCATTAATTCCACCTGTATTAACCATTTCGTGTATATAAACTTTTATTAATAAATAAATATATTACTATGTTCTAAAAAAAATACTGGTACCAAAGTTCATTGGTGTGACAATGAATATAAATTTAATATTTATTCGATTATAGATTAAGTTATCCATGGAATGTAGTATCCAGTTTCAGCAAACGGACTATGTACTCCTTTATCATTCTTACTACTATTAAAAATATCTTAAAAGTCATCTTGTTTACAACAAAATCATTTTTGTGTAAATGCGAACAGATAACTTGTGTTATTCTTAAAGTTAGATCCAAGGTTAGGAAATTAATTCCAAAGGAATATAAAAGCTCACCGTTCGTTTTATAAATTGAGTTTTATAGTTTGTGATTTGTCACTTTAACTTCAAACAGATTGCGAGGACTCGCTCGGAAAGTTGAGTGGAGCGCATTGAGATGTTTGACATGAACATAATTTACTATCCGTCAAGTGTAATATCCCTCTACAAGATGCGGGAGTGTAGAAGTTAGATTGTGAATGTGGTCTCTCTTACATAGGTCAAACAAAAAGATCCATAAAAACCCGCGTGAAAGAACATATAGCTGACGTGAAGCACCCACGCTCCGGGAAGTCTGCAGTCTGTGAACATGTTCAAGATCGTCCCCACCATTACATCAGATTTGATAAAACACAAATCCTCGCAAAAAAACTCTGAATCCTACCAAGGATGATACGCGAGGCTATTGAAATTAAAAAAATCCTAATGTCAATAGAGAAGATGGTTAGGTGCTGCCATCTGCTTGGGATCCTATAATTAACAAAAATTAACCCAATCCCAAGCATACCACTGCAAAACTTCAAGATACTGTAAGCTCGTTTTGCGTAAATCAGACCAAAAATTAATATTCAAAAACTGAAGGTAGTTGGGCTAACAATGACATTGGGACGTCAAACATCTCAGCCCCCCGTGACCATGGGTGCTGTAAAGCACCTGAAACGTCGGAATTTAAAAATAAGTAAAAGTAATTAATTAAACGCGATAGAATCCGTAAATTTAGTTTTATTCAATGTGTAATTTTCGCGTAAATTTAAGAAATCATTATTAAAATAAGGTACTAAGTAATTTAAGAAATTACAAATTTCATTTTTTGGTCGCAATTGTAAATTTTGTCTAAGTCCCGGTTTACATTTTGAGCACTTGTAATTTGTCAGTTGCACGTGCCACTCGCACTTGTCTGTTCTAAAAAAAACGGCCCTAACTGGATGTAAATACGTCTCTATCCTGTGATATGATATCAATATAGCGTATAGCTCTTAACAATAGTGCATTCTTATGCAGGTTTATCCTAGCAGCGTACACGAAAATATGAAAAAGTATTTTTTTTTTTCATTTGATACCATTTAAATCATGTCACCTTCTTTACACATTTGTGCTTTTAATACTATCACCATTTCGAGTAACCACCCGAGTTAAAATTTAAAATGGTTATGTTAGAAGCGGTTCATGACAGTAGTCGAATAGCGGATTCGATCCCATGACCCTTGAGTTTCGTAATACGTACCTCAGACCACTGTCGCTTAAACTTTTTATAACTCATCATTTATCATTGGTTGATTTTTTCCGAACAAACGTCGACTGCTACAAATAGGCCTCTCCATAAATTGCGTCATAGGGTGGATATTTGCTAATGTTGCCACGCTTGCAGCAGCTTTTTTAAATGTTTTGAGTGGTATTATAAGGATGCTGCTGTCCTTTTCCTTTAGTGCCCTCTATGGTCCATACGATAACAATAGTATAATATGAAAAAAATTTGTTTTGTTATGTATTTTAAATTATGGCTACAGCACGAATGGGTCGGCTGTTTCTTGGGGTGAGTGTAGAAAACCGCATACCCTTCTACTGACAACAAGGCAATACGTCTTAGTCCTCAGAGATGACAACGCGTATGCGTTTAATTCTTAGTCGGGAACGCATTTAGATGTCTATGGGCCGCAGCATCCTTTACCATCAGGTGAGTTGTGTGCCCGCGGGTCACCCATATTCAATAAAAAAGTGGATTATCCCTTAATGGGTTGTGAGTGATCTAACTATCATAAAGTTATGAATTTTGGGAAATATACTTATTATGAGGTCTAGAATAATATTTTCTGAGTTTGATATTTACCATTTATTGCTCTAATGGGTTTTACAACGTGGGAACTATTTTCCTGTTGTCTATTAAAAATATATGTTTTTGAGATACAACATGAATATTATTCCCACATCTAGGTAGGGAAGAATGATAGACATTAATTTCATTACATGTCACCATATTTATTTATGAAAGTTGTCGAAACATTCGGAGCAAATAGATACTTTGCAAGTTTTGCATATGAATCTGGAGCATTTCTCTTTTACGCGAGTAGAACAAAAGCGGCATTTGCGGAATTTCCAATTATCTTGAGGTAGATGTAGTCCCACATTCAGCAGTCTGATTTCATCAGAAACACCGTATACTCCACCCTTTTTGTTCTTAAAAAGGAGAACAGTCACTTTTTTTGGCACGGAAGTTGTTTATGAGTAGACGGCCAAGTCGGAGACGAAAATCTCTGTGTTCATAAGACTGTTTTGATGGTAAACAATATATGAGTTCGCCACAGCCGCCTCAAAAAGAAACCAAAACAAACGGTGCCAGTATTTTCTTGACTTGCGACTCAGAGGATTGGATGATCTATAATGATCAAATAGATCGACTCCTGCCATGTGTTCTGTATATTTCTTTGCAGCATCTGGACAAAACATTGCATTTTTTGAGCCGTTCTTCTGTGTCCTTTGTATTACTTCAACAGACCTTAGATCATGCGCTGTAGTACTTACTAATACATCTTTTGTATCCATCCATTTAATGCATGCGATAGGATTGGAATATTTGAAGATGAACTCACCAGAGCTCAGTTTTAGATCTTTGTTTTGCTTGCTAATTTCTGGTGGCAATCCCTTCTTGTTCGCTCGAATGGTTCCTACAGCATATATCTTCTCTGAATACAAAATCTCCAGCAACGGCAGGCTCGTAAAAATGATCAAAAACTATGAAAGTATCTTCTGGCACATTTTGACATAAATCCAAAACAACTCTACACCCTAATCCCTCTTCAGCTGTATTATCTGTTTTGCCTGTATAAATTTGGAACTGATAGAGGTACCCAGTTTTAGAATCGCAACGACACCAGCATTTATAAACCTCGTTTAATCGGTTTTTTAGGCATGTATTATTTCATAGATGATTTGCCTTTAAATTTTATCATACTCTCCTCAATGGATTGATTTTGAGATGAGGAGCAGTTTTGTTGAAAGGTTTCGTTCAGAGCGTCCACTATTGGTCGTACTTTACACAGTTTGTCATAGCTCGGGTCATCGCGTTGAGCTTCTTCTAATATGTTATCAATGTGAAAATTTTCTGTGATTTTCTGAAAGCGTTTGAACTTCACTAATTACAGAATTTCTATAAAATTCGTCAGTAGACCAGTACATCTTTATATCAGGTATTATTGTATTTATACAGGGTTTATTGATATCAACACAATAAGCCCAAAATATTCGTTCATTTCTTCATATGTTGTATCTTTCCAATGTCTTGAGCATTTATAAGCTGCATAGATATTTGTGTTTCTCCCAAAGAAATTTACCAATACTTCTGGAAACATATCCCGGAAATAGGACAATTGAGTAGATCGGTTGTTATATTGCTTGTTTACAGTCAAAGGTCTTTCAAAATTTGGGGGGAGTGAGAATCTAGACAAATCATTGGACCGCTCTCGCGATTTCTTCAATAAATCAAAATAATTTGAACTGGATCTAAATCTTTGTTGATCGGAAGGTCCTCTACGTTGATAGGCAGGTGTAGGTATAGGAGGCGGTCTGGGCTCTTCAGCTACAGGCTCTGAACGAACATCTTCCTCAAGAGCAGAAGGTAACATGGGCTCATTAACTGCAGCCTCCACAGGAACATTACTCTCAAGTGAAAAAGATGACATGGGCTCATCAACTGCATCCTTCTCAGAACCATTCCTGTCTGGTGAAGAACGTATGGGAGGGTGCTTGCACTGGGAAGGATGTTTGCGCTGGGGAGAGTGATTGCGCTGGCTGATTACAGTCATCAAGACTGTCTAAGAGTTCTTTGTAGCTATAAGATTGAATCTTATTTATCTTTGCATCTAAATTATTAAATAAGTTGGGCTTTTCCCTCACGAAGGTAAATTCTTCATCGTCCTTATCTTCCTCGTCATCGGAGGACATCATTCTACTTAATTCCGATTCAATCTCTCTCCTCAGTATCACCTGTAAGAAAAAACAAAGATGTAGTTCCATAATGATCAGTAGGAAAATAGTTCCCACATATTTTGGAAGCCCATAAAAGTCGAACCAAATAACTATTTAGGTAACTTTTACATAAAATGTACAGAAAATATCATAATTATAACAAATCTGTAAGAAAATTATACTTACGGTATTTTTTTTTCGACATTTTCGACCAAAAAAACTCACAAACACGCATAAAATTAACATTCAGCTGATGTTTTGACAGGAGACGTCGGGGTTTTTGTTTTTTTTTTCTTTCGTAAAGTGGTGCGTTCCAATTCACACAATTTTTTTATCATAGACAATTTTACGTAGTTTTATTATTTTCACAGATTGTGGGAAACTATTTCTTCCTGATCCTTTGAGAACACATATAAAGATGTGGGAATAATTTTCCTACTGCACATTTAAGGGTTATCTTTCACCACCACTATACGGCTGTCACCAATTATACTATCTAATCTATAAAACCGAAACTTTAATTAAACAAATATGGTTGATATAAATCTCTAGTGTGTATATATATATATATATATATATATATATATATATATATATATATATATATACATATATCATCATCATCATTACAGCCCTTCACAAGTCCACTGCTGAACATAGGCCTCCCCCAAGTAATGCCACAAAGCACGGTCCTGAGCTACCTGCATCCATCGACTTCCTGCATGTCTTACCAGGTCGTCACTCCATCTAGTGGGGGGTCGCCCTACACTACGCCTACCAGTACGAGGCTGCTACTCGAGAACCTTTCTTCCCCATCGGTTATCGGTTCTTCGAGCATTATGACCGGCCCATTGCCACGTCAGCTTACTAATCCGTTGGGCTATGTCGGTCACTCTGGTATTACTGCGGATATCCTCATTTCTGAGCCTATCACGCAGAGAAACTCCGAGCATAGCCCTCTCCATAGCTCGCTGAGCGACCTTGAGCGTCCTCATACGGCCAGCAGTGAAGGACCACGTCTCAGATCCGTAAGTCATCACTGGCAACACGCACTGGTTATACATTTTAGTTTTCAGAGATTGAGGTATACCTGACGAGAAGATGTGTCGTAATTTCCCGAACGCTGCCCAGCCGAGTTGAATCCGTCGATTGACCTCTCGGTCGAAGTTGGACTTACCTAGTCGGACTATTTGTCCCAGATAAACGTACTCGTCAACAACTTCGAGCATAGTGCTCCCAACAACTACCGGCATAGGTGTTCATCTTAAGACCTATCCGTTGGGAGACACTATTGAGATCATTGAGCATAGTACTTAGGTCCTCCAGCGATTCTGCCATAAGGACTATATCGTCGGCAAGTCGAAAGTAAGTGATGTACTCGCCACTGACGTTAAATACCGTATCCTTTCCAGTCCAGTAGCTTGAAAACGTCTTCCGACGCAGCGGTGAAGAGTTTTGGGGATATAACATCACCCTGTCTTACACCTCTCTGCAGTTGGATAGGTTTCGTACTCTGGTTCGTTACTCGGATAGCCATCGTAGCCCTACTGTACAAAAACTTCAATATACCGACAGTCAACTAGGCACCGCTGAAGTGACTGTAGCACCGCCCAAATTTCGACGGAATCAAAGGCTTTCTCATAGTCCACATACGCCAGGCAAAGTGGCAGATTGTACTCTTCGGGATTCTGTACAATTTGCCTAAGGGTATGTATGTGGTCTATGGTACTGAAGCCTTTTCGGAAACCGGCTTGTTCGGGAGGCTGGAAGTCGTCCAGTCTGCGTGCGAGACGATTTGTAATGACTCTCGAAAACAGCACGTAGACGCGGCTCAGAAGGGAAATCGGTTTGTAGTTCTTCAAGAGAGCGTTGTCGCCTTTCTTAAAGAACAAGACCACCGCGCTTCTGCTCCACGCCTCCGGAGTAGTGCCACCATGGAGGACGGAATTGAAGAGCTTCTGAAGGACTTCAAGTACCGGTGTTCCACCCGCTTTCAGAAGCTCCGCTGTAATTCCATCCTCGCCCGGGGCCTTGCCGTTTTTAAGGTGGTGGAGAGCCTTCTATTCTCGCTCAGAATGACGTCCGGTCATCGGAATAGTGTCGGATAAGACTTGCTCTTGGATCGTTACTCACATTTACGTGTGGCTCCAACGATGATGTGTACAGCTGCCCATAGAACCTCTCAATCTCAGTCAGAATCTCAGGTGTCCCGGAAACGATGTTCTTCACTCAGTCTTCACCTTGACAGTTGGCTCTTTCTGGCAGACAGATCTCTGGCAAAGACTTTGGAGCCCTGGTTCCGCTCGATCGCTTCTTTAATTATATATATATATATATATATATATATATATATATATATATATATATATATATATATATATATATATTACATTCCGACTTACATTATCTGTTGATGATAATAATGTACCCTTTTATAAAAACTGGAAATATTTTTCGACGTAAATCATTCACCTCATAACGCAATATCAGTAAATCATTGCCAGGTCAAAACATTCTATACGATAATTTGAAAAAAAAATCTATAGAAAAGGCGGGATTCCACTTAAATGAAAAAATAATTTATGTAAAATAAGCGATAAAATTACACTTTTAATAAAACGACATCAAAGAACCAAAAATAGACTAAAATAATACCTACGTAATAGCTTTTGTAGTCGAAGCTCAGATATAGTGAAACGTACTAGAAAAATTCTTTAAAGTCGGCTTTACTTTTTAAAAGTCTAGTTTCTGACCCTTTTGAGGTGACTATGAAAAATCACAAGCTCGAATATCGTCTGAATATAACATTAAGAATTTCATACTCTATTTTCTCACACAGGCTTCAAACTTATGAACTTCCCTGAAGTATTAATTTAATAGAAACATGATTATTAAAATCGGTTCAAAAACACGGTTGATAAAGATTTCGTGTAATATACATACAAAAAGAACATGGTAAATAGAGAACCTCTTTCTTTTTCGAAGTCGGCTAAAAAAGGTCAAATATTCGGAAATTATTTTTACTTTTAATAATTCCGCTGTATATTGAGGCCCCTGCTCTTAATCATAATGCTTCTCAAATTATTTTCACTTCAATTTACAATTCATAGCTGAACTTTTTGACATGGATTCAAATCCAAATAAACCCCTATCATTTCTTTCAAAAAAATTTCATATTTATTATGTAACAACATAACACGCGTAATTAAATCCTTTTCACACATCAAACACATTCACACCGTAGTAGAGAAGGTCGCTTTAATCCCGCGTTTGATCCGAATCAACTTAAACAAAATTACAACAGTGCTTATCTGTTATAATAAATGCATTTATGTATATGTAGGTGTGGGTCTTTCTTGTCTGAACTAAACAAATGAAAATTACGATGATGACTATCGCAAAGACAATATCCGTGTGGTATTTTGATTAGACTACGTCCCGTAGGACTGACCAAAATTTGTAAATGTAAATGAGGACATGTGTATCTTATGGAGTACGAAACAATTTTTTCGAAGTTTGTGTTATTCATGATTTGTGAACAGGAGCAGAGTTTTGCCGGAAAGTCTACGGTACATTTCTGAACTGTACATAAATCAGAGGCACACTGAGACGATATTACACTACACGTTCCAAGACAGTCCCTTGTTATATTTTTGGCCAGAATCTTTATTTCTTTTTACTCAAAATCGGGCTTCGTACCACCAGACCCCTATTAATAATTTATCATTTGCTACAGCCCATTAAAAACCACTGCTGTACATAACCTCCCCCTTTCACTGTTTTAGAGGATATTTACAATAGTCGACACGCTTCCCGCGCAGTCAGGTTGGCTATAGCAATTTTATGATTATTGTTATAACAGCCTCTCCCCCGTTCCATTTTCCTGTGTCATCTCCTACGACACCCACAGGATGATATGAGATAGTGGATGTGAGTTGATGAAAAAATGATGATGCAGGGTGATGACCACGTTGAACTTTTCCAACAATTTGCGAGTCTTAGAGCTAAAAGCTGTAAGTGCGAGTTTACCATGTTCTTTTATTCTAAAACTTTTCATTTATGAAGAGGAAATTTTTCTATTTTCAACGTTCGGGATCGGGATATCAAACGTTTTCAACGATCCATTATCTTAAAATGCATGGATTGGTTAAGTGCATGTGAGTGCAGAAATTACATGTCCTAATTCTTCCCTCGCTTTACCACCATCGAACTATCAGGCGGTCGGCAGATACGCTTGTTGTCCATATTCCACGATTTCAAACCAAACGTTTTGCTTTGTCTTTCGTAATGCGTACAGCAAAAGAGTGGAATAATTTGGCGGCGTCTGTCTACCCGACCGATTACAGTCCGGGTGCCTTCACCTTCATCACTACCTACTTTTCATTGGGTGAGATTACAGTCAAACACTGATAGATAATTAAAAAAAACTGTGCATCGACGGTAAACATCTTGATTTTAATCTGGTTTTATAATTCGAGACAGACATTCCTAGGAGGACTCTTAGTTTCATTTTATACGATAAAGAGGAGCAACAACCGAAAACTCTCAAGTAATAAAAAACGCATTTAAAATTAGAATACAGAAAAAAAAATGTTTTTCAGTTGTAGCCTTGTTTTTGGCCAGTTATTATGTATTCAGTATAATATTTTACGTCGATAATAAAACAATCGATACGGGATCATATTACCGTGAATCTTATTCTTATCTTAATAGCTTTATCGATATAATACTCACATACGAACTACGTTCGCATATTAAATGTCACATAGGTAACGTTTTGTGCGTGTTAAAGCCAGACTGAAACATAATATCGCGATGGCAAAAACCGGTCGGCTCT